CCTACACAGACGGGTCCAAATATTGTAGAGTGATAGCTAATGGCTTCAAGTTTGCCCATACAGTAGAATTCTTTTCCATCTATAATGTCCTTCAGAGAATGAGTAAGTACCATATTTTTCTCCTTTGTCTTTTTCTGTCCCACCAAATGCTGTGTTCATAACACTTGAAACACAGGTGAAATGTATTTCCAATTCTTAAGGAGGCCCATGTATGAAATTAACTGGATCCACCTCACTGGTTGTTTTGCATAAGCAAAAGCTTAATAGGAACGGCAGTATTGACACTTAGGTCTTAAGAAACTATGTAAATAGTTTTCACTTTTATAGTGTTTAAATCCCACAAACAGACTGTGGTAATGAACTGAATCCCTTTTAAAGGCTTTTCAGTTAACTTTTGCAATCCGGCTGGCATCTAGGATACCCATTGCGTGCACCAGTTGTACCAATGCCTGCACACACATGCAAACAAAACTAAATCAATAAATGGTGAACTATTGGATGGAAGAATCCAAGATTTACAGTAGTGAGAGCAGAATCATATCTGAGACAGTTATGACGGTCAGCAACAAAATGGCAAATATTTTCAACTGCATGTGCTTGCAGGTAGTGTCAATGATTATCACTTGCATCTTGCAGGAGTAGTTTTTCTTCTCATAGCAACACAACATTTTCCAGCAGACTTTACCTGGTAGGTCACGAAATCCTTTGCAGTCGTGTGGAATGTTAAATCTCCAGAACTATACAGTTTCATACAGACTGGCTCTGAAACGTTAATCTTGTTTTCTAGGTATAAACACTTCTGACAATAAGAGAAATATGAACAGAAATGTATGATCCCAAACAATAATTTATACTGAATTAAAACATTAGCTTCACCCCTTAGACACCAGACGCGTTTTATTATCTTATCATATAGTTAGAAGAACAGAGCACGCAATTTTTTTATCCACCACTAACCTCTAAAGAGCTCATTGATATTGTGGATCCAGTTTCACTTCTTGATAATCCTGCATTGTCATCCAGCTCCGAGGCAATGAAATTCTTCACTGCTGTGCGGGGCTCAAATGGTAAATTCTGCATATGTTCTTGGGTGGGAAGATGCTGGTCTAAATTGATATTAAACTGGTCCATTACAGAGGGATTCATATTGAACTCTGGATTAACTTTGTAGTGCAACAGCCTTTCATGAGGCAACGTATCCATGCCTATATTCATTTTGCTCTCATCTTTCAGGGATGGCTGGGTATTTACTGAGCCCCGGGGCATGACTATATAGTCGCTTTCTATCATCCGTTCTTGAGGATTGACTATGTCCATATCTGCACCTCTCAAATTATCATCAGTGCATAAATAGACAGTCCTCCGCAACTCACTGTTGTCTTTCTTCAAGCACTGATTGGCCAGTTCGCTCATGCTCATGGGCATGTGGAGACCTGTTGGTTGCTGGATGATGACTTTGGAGATGATGTTTCCAGGCAAGGTAGAATAGCTCATTCCTTCAGGGTTTGGGCCTTTCTCCTCCTCTTCATCATTTAGGGAAATTCTAGAAAGTGTTCCTGTTATAGTAGCTGCTCTGCAAGGTCCAATGTCTTTATGCAGAACTGTGGGTCAGAGAACAGAATTCTTACAACACGAAACCATGTCTGCCTAATGCTGCTTTTTCTTGTGGCTTTATTTGTCACTGCTCCTTTTACCAGTGGATCTTCATAACTCTTTTTCTATCCATTTATTAACTTTTATTCCATAAATATTATTTTGGGAAGATTTTTTTGAAAAAAACCCATCAATCTAGTATGTATAACTGACATAGATCTCTCACTAAGCCTCTGTCATTTTCATAAATTAAAAATACTCCTTCATTTATTCCTACTGCCTTACATACATCTTAGGTGACCTACAGCTTAAGCAAAAGCCTGACATGTAGGACTTGATTAAAGGTTTTCAAAAAAAATACACCATGACATCTGTACTGCCATTATTAACTGCACATAGCCTCCTGTAAAATGTCAAACCGATTGTAAGGCAGAATCATTTTGTCAATCCATTGTGATGACCTACCGTAAGACTAATACTAGGAATATGTGTCCTTGAGCTCCTGAATATTCCTTTTGACTGACTTTTAAAAACCCTTCTGTGCTAAATTATTTTTTAAATAAAAGTGACAAAAAAGTAACCACATTGGGACAAAATCCCATTGGTATCAGAAAGACATATTTTGCTGCATCTGAAAAGGTTATAAAGAATATAAACATGTCTCATAAAACAGTCATAATCCACTTTTGGTGTAGGCCTAGGTCTTCCTGGTCAAACTTGTAGCAACATCCAACATTTTTTTGTTGGGGTAACTCCACATGTAAAAGTTATTAATACTGTCATAGAATACAAAATTTCCAGGAGCATTGAAGGATGCATTCAAAAGCAAAGCATCTATTCAATCACAATTATTGATCTTAAAAAAGAAATATGTCTGTAATTCAACATTTGTAATGAAAGAAAAATAATAGATTGTAAGAAAAATAAAATTAAAAAAAAAGTAGCCAATTACTGGGCTTATTCCAGTTGGGTGCAAGGAGTTTCTTGTCCCAGTTGAAAATATTTTAATTCACATCAGTTCTAGTTTGTGCAATAAAATCCAGCTTATGGGCTGAGACAGTAAGACAACCTGAAGTATCTCAGGTGTTACATTTACATCTCTTTTGGCAGCCTGAGGGCTCTGATGACCCAGATCCACCGGTACCTGTCAGTTCACTGCCACATTCCATAGCAAGCAGCTCATAAGGCACCCCCCTCTTCCACCTCACACAAAACTTCCTCTAATTTTTCTGTGATAAAAAGAACAACTTGCCTCTAAACAACAGTGCACAAACACGCAGCTTCAGTGGGGCTGCTTCCTTGTTTCCAGTCATACTTGTTAAGATGCTTCAACCAGTGACCTATTCTTATATCTTTCATCACAAGAAACTGCGTTTAAATGTTTATCTTGTAAAACCTGATCATAACTGTATTCAAAGTCCTTAAGGATGCCCCTGACAAGGCTCTCCGTCCTGGACATCCTGTCCAGGTGAGAAGTAGAAGCTACACGGATCAAGGCTGGACTTTTGTCTGCATTGGATGGTGGCAGACATGCGTTTATGTTACCGTGTACTATCCTGCTCCCTTCACAATACATGTGAGTATTAAAGCTAATCTATATGGAAGAACCTCATTAAGGTTTCTTTACCTTAATGAGACCAGCCTTCTTGGTTCCCCAAAGAGCTGTCGAAGAGCGACAGTGTCCCTCAGGTGGGTGGTGTAGAACAGCTGCGCCAGGCTTCTGCCCTGACTCACCCTGTGGAGAGGACACCCTCTCTCTCCTTCTCTCTCTCTTCATTGAAAACTGAGGCTGTCTAGGCAGGATTGCCTCCCTAGGAAAAACCGTCCTTCGGGAATATCTTCTAGATTTAAAAATTTCTATAGGGTTTAAATGGTCATTTATTTCACACTGTAATTTATTTAAGCAAGGTTGGCAAATAAATTGCCTAAAATGTTATTTTAATATGAGGAAACAGACATAGCTGACTAATTAGAGATCACACTACTGAAATATCTTTAAAAACCCTCAACTTATTCCAGTAAAGTGGAATCAAATTTCATTTTCTTGATACCATGTTGCTTAAGCTACTGTTGATTTAATTTAGAGTCCTAAAAAACTTACCCTCTTTAAAACTGACACCAACGGATGCATCCTTCATATACATAGCTGTTAAGATACATGATTGATTTTTTTAATTTTTTTTTTTTACATAACAAACAAGGAAAATTTTGTCTGTTAAGACTGATCTTCTTTCCAAAACCATTTGCCTTCTAATAGACAATCACACCTTTGGCTGCTTCCCAACGGCTGAATTCTAGTAAAAGGCTTTTGAAAGAAAATGAAATGAATGTATTTGTACAGTGGTATCACCTTTTTTTTTTTTGTTACATTTATAAAGATGTGGTGTAAACAATTAAACCCTGATATTTTTCTGGTTTTAACTTCAGAAGGAACTAATACAGGACTTTGTTTTGTTGGCTAAATACTCTCTCAAAGTCCTTACCTGACCGACAAGCAATGTCCACGTCCTTTTCAAAATCAGTCTGTAACAAGAAGCAACAAACAGAACAACCATTATTAATTGAAAACTAAACCACAATACCTTTTTGCCAACTAGTTCTTCCAAAATGTCCTACTTACAGAGTCATAGTCTCTTAAAAGTGGTTTCTTGTTGCTGAGAAGGTGAACTGTATTGTTTTACAACAGCAGAGCTTTACAAAGTTTCCTAAAGTATAAGTGGGTGGTTTTCAAAGTATGCTGCCTGACCAGAAAAAATAAAATAAAATAGGTGGAAGTAGAGTATATAATTTTAATAAAACGATACAGTGTATAGTTTTTTTATGTGTATGGAAGAGTAACTTCAACATCTCATGGAAGGATCATCTTTAAGGAAGCTTTTATTACTAATTTTATAAACAGAAGTATGGAAAATACCCTGCAATACAAATTACTGTGAATAAGTGTAATCCCATTAGTCCACCCTGTCTGAAACTTCATTAATTTGTTATGAAGCTGTTCTTTATTTTATAACATTCTGTCCATCCTTGCTACTAATGTAATAATGTAAAGTTTGTACTCCCTGAAAACAACTATTATTTATTTCATTGGGAAAAAATAAATTGTAAGAGCTAAGAATGAATTTTAACAGTTGAAAAATCCGAGCACACTTCTCCAGTTAAGCAAAGCTATTTATCCTGTTATAGAAATCAAGTAATTTTAAATTATGTTTTTATTTTAACAAAAGTTTATTATGTGAAAATGTTTAATAAAATTGACCTCCTTCTTGCTTGTGAAGTCCACACATTGGATTATTTTTTGATTCATGATTTTTTGAAGGGCATCAGGTTGCTAAGACTTACTTTTTTTTTTAGGGCCTGATCCTGTCCCCGTTATAATCAATGACAAACTGTCATTGAAAGTAAAGGGACCAATATTTTGTCTCAATATACTACCTAACAATATCAGTAATTAACTTACTAAGCCATTCACTATCTCCTTAGTTCAGGCCACTAGATAGATTCCCCCCTCTAGAATCTCTATCACTTCCTCCTTGGCTGAATTAGTTTGAGAGGAATATTTTTCAACATTTTTCAAGGCCTCACAAAGAGGAGGCTTTCAAATGTATCCATGGTCTTTACACCAGCAGTAGGAAAAGTCACAATATATTATTAGATTAATTTCTCATTTTCTTTCGTAAGAATCTTTTGTCATAAAGAACATTGGTGGAAGATACTAATTCACTGTGCTCCACTAAGTGACCACACCAAGAATTTAAAACTTGCTAAGAGTTTCAAGCAAGCAGAGAATGACCTAAACAGACTTACACTTAAAAATCGTGTTACTATTTCAGCTGTGCATACTTGCCATGTACAGTACTGTAAGTTTTTTTCTTTTGGATAGGAACACTAAATTAAGAGTCAAAGAAAAAAATAAAAGCTAACCATGATTTGAGCATGTCCATTAGGAAAAGAACTTGAAGAATCTGCATTGATTGGATCCTGGCAATTTCTCAGTCGACATCTGAATGCATCTTGAACCTGTGAAAACAATATCTTATACTGATTCTTGTGCAACATCATGTACTCTACTCCTATTAAAAATTAAATTAGACCATATGGAATACAATGCACGACTTTTCTTTAGCATACTTCATGAATCAGAAGCAGTAAACATAAATGCTTATTTCTGCCATTTCGTACATTTGTTATACTTTGTGACTGCTGCTAAGTCTGCCAGTCACACCAAGACCACAGAATTAGATTTGCCTATGGCCAGAATTAACTAGTAGTCAGTGATGATCTGGTACTCAAGCCAAATCTGTTTGCGCTGATAGCATTTGGCTTTGATGTCTCATTCAGTTTCGTGCAGGTCTGATAGCAGGATTAATAGATATACTATTAACCATTGCAAAATAAAATGTATCTTCTGCTTGATAAATGTAAGATTCTTGAAAGACAGTCTCCTAATTATACTTTAAAGAATAAGCCAATGTGAAAGATGTTACTAATTCCAATCATAAACTCTAACTCCATGTATAGGGAATCTCATGCCTCTTTTCTAGGAGTAAAAATCTTCAAACCAGGAAAAGATCTTCAACGTGAGCACAGGAAGAAAACTGGCCAGTCTGGTTTTTTGAAACACCCAAAAAAAAAAAAAAAAAAAAAGGAACTTCTCAGAAATTGCTGTTTATTAATATGATCCAGAAAGTAAATTTGAAGACTTGTCCCTAAAAGTATATTTGAGGAATTATCTTTTAATAGGAAAGGGCTTTTTTTAAACTTTGATTTTGGGTGGAATGTATGTCTAAAGAATATTTCTCTGAATGCAAAACCGAGTTTGTTTCACTTCTGACCTCAGATGCATTCTAATATAGCAATACAATCTAAGTTTTAAAATGTGAATTTTAATTCCAGAAATGCAAGTATCCATATTTGCAACCTGATTGCAAGATGTGACTTGGAAAATGGGAACTTAGTGGGGTGACCTGTAGTCAAAACAAACTAGTATAATTTCTTGTTTGAATCAGAAAATACTCTCAGTGAAATGACTACAAAAATCTACAGTCCATTTATTATCTGTGGAAATTACTTGATGTTTATTCAGAATAATTAAAGGGGAGAAAATTGTATTCTACTCATGAACATTTTGTGAATAGCAGAAGAGGATAATTCATTAATTGTTGCTGATGAAAAGGCAGCCCCTTTCAATACATCATATTGCACTACAAGGACTTTAAGAGCTTTCACAAAAGGGAAAATGAAATAGAAAAAAAAATATTTATTTTTGTAATTAGGAAGAACAATTTTAAAATATTCTACCCTTAAATGAGTAAGAGTGCTCTGCAGTCTTAGTAAGTGACTGTAGCAGGTGAAGGAAGACTAATATAGGGCAGAAAGAAGAATGAAGCAAGGTGGAAAGGTTTGGATTGATTTCAAAACACTGAAACTTCCCACATGTGGTAGGGTAATGTAAAGTGTGCTTGACCTCTATCATGACTCAGATTCTGATTTTAAGCACTACATTTGCTGTGGTTTTCCATGTGTTTGACATTAATTTAATTTGGCATCTCCCAATTGTTGCAAATTTAATCCAGGTCTTCTCTCACTTTATAATTGCTGAAGTCAGGTCACACTTCAGACTTTTATGCTCTTAGATAAGCACTGGCACAGTGATTTGACAAAAAACAAAAATAAAAATCCCTCCCTCCAAAGCATCCCCAGCTGTGCTGAATTGCATCTCAAGCCTTATGATGCTTGACCCTAAAGCATCATTACTTCAGACCACAATAGGTGACCTCTCACTCCACACAGTGGCCCTCCTTATTTTTGCTACTCTGTGTTCATGAAGCTTCACCAGTTCAGGTAGCTCCAGAGATCTTAAAAATGTCATGTCCTACTTTGACTACCTTCTATATTAAAGCAGTGAATCTTTATGTTAAGAGCATCTGAAATGTGCATGTTTCTTACAAGGTTTCTGAAGCGCAAGCAGAACAGGATTTGAACATGTTAACAGAATGCCAAATGTAGCTGTATCCATCATCCTGACATATGTTGCAACCTCTAGGTGTCCTCACACAAGTCAGAAACAAAAAGGTTGAACTTTCTAAATACCAGCTTATTTTTCTAAACTGCTTGTTCAAACTTGTTGTTTGGATATGTAAAGACTGCGCTGTCTTGACATTTTACTTTGAAATATAATCTTGTTTCTCCCCCACTCCCTTACCCCCTTAACATCAAGTTCTAAGATTTTCTTAGAGCCAGGCAGAGCAGGAAAGACAGATGTGATGAATGTGCGGATACCAGGGAAGTGGTTTCCTTAGCAACAGTAACCAACTCCAAGCTTTTATAACGTACACCCCCCCTACTCATGCACTCTTTATTTTTCTCCTGCAATACATAAATGTGGGCTTTAGATGACAAGGATGCATTTAATCCAAATGCTCTCTAGTCAGCAGAGCACAGCAAAAGGAGAACACGTGGGTTCCTCCCATCAGCAGCATTAATGGGAGCTACTCAGTGTGATTCAAATTAGGTTTAGACAAGCTCGTGTTCAAGCAGGTCAGGCAAACCGTTTTTGCTCTGATGGAGAAGCTTCACCACTAACCTCTCCTGTCATGCTCTGTTCTGTGACACGTGCCTCATCATCTTGCAAAACCCAATTAGGTATTTAAACAGCAAGAAGAGAGGGAGAGAAAAAAAAATACTAGGCTCTCTGGACTAAGAAGGCAATATAAAACAATAATACCACACTCTTACTTTGCATTTTTCTTTCCAAATTTCCAAATGGTCTGTAAGAGGTCTCATGCTTAAGAAGTATTATCTTAGAAGTTGGGAAATTAAAGTATAGAAAGACTTAATGTCTTTCCAAAAAACCCTGAATTGTTGAAGGGCAGAAACAGACACAACCCATCACTTAGTTCTCTTCTAGTTGTACGTCTTACTTGGTGAACCTCCTTGGCTTCCTAGTGCTGACATTGTCACACATGATCATTGATACAGCACACTAGAGAAAGTGAAAAGTATCTCCATCATTTGTGTTTATATCACTATAACTAAGAGGAAAAACAGGGGGTTTATAGATATAATTGTAAAAGTCTCTGTCTTTTCATAATGTAACAACAGTAAAGGCATAGTAAAGCAGGGCTGTCCTCTTCTTTGAGTTTTATGGTGATATATTCCATCCCTTTTTTTTTCATGACAGTCAGAATTATTGTTTTGCCTGTGGTGGCATGCTATAAATATTAGATCAATCCTATAGGATATAACCGAGATAGCTTTGTTGCCGTCATCAAGAGTGACAAATATGTTGGCAGGGTTTCCCTGACAGGCACCGGCAGAGCAAAATGCTTTTGCAGGCAACAGAAAGTAGCAGACTATTCTTGCACCTGGGGAGGTACCCTCTGCAGAGCACAGACTGCACCGCACACTGTGCACGATGGTCAGTGTTTTGCCTTGCACTCACCTACGGGACTCTGGAGCTAGAAAGCCAGACTCTCTAGAGCCATACTGAAATATAACTTAGTGGAGTTATGTCTCCTCCTGTGTAGGAAGTTGGTGCAGTAAACAATTACATCTTTGCTACTGCAAACAGGTCCACAAATTTGCAGACCATATGCATATTTGAAACAAAAATAGTTTCACGTGCATCAACGTTTACTTCTTTGCTGTTCTTGAAGAACTTTCTATTAATTTTTTTTCCCATATGAAAAAAATGACCTTAGTTAGTTTCTCAAGCGTTTTGCCCAGTTTACAATTTAAATCTGGAGGACTAAAGAAGATTCAATGTGCTCTGTCAAATAGAGTTCAAACAGCAATATGCCTAGGCTCCTTCATCTTCCACCATCACGGCTATCATCATCTTGACTGGAGATAATCGATTGTTTAGTGACTAAGTCATCCCTTTACATTTACTTCTACCTAAGTTGTCGTGACTGAAGAAAAAACTCCTCCTCCTTTTTGATAAGGGACAACCTTATCAAGCCTAGGTGCTTTTTGGGCCTCACTGGGAAATTTTCTTATGAGGCCATTTTTAAAAATACCACGTAGATAGACTGAGAAGCTGTTTTAGCAAATGCCTTTCTTCTAGAATTTCAGTGGTAGGACCAGGAGCTGTAACTGCCAAGACTGGCTTGTGGGAACAACTCCTTTGAGTATTGAAATGAAGTAATGATTCTTTGCAGTTAGATGAGATGCGTAGACATGATTTACTGAAAAAACAGTGAATAAAACGAACCATAACTAGCTGATTGCCTACACACAAACAATTAAGGTTCTAAATTCCTGTATAAACAACTTTATAAGCAGATATTTTTGCATATTTCTTGCACCAGAACCAATGAATTAAAAGTGGCTTAAGTCAAGGTACCCCACAAATTTGAAAACTGAGTATACTTATAGAAAAAACTAATCCCACCTCTATCACTACCCGTGAGTAGGGTCACACAAGAACATTCCCATGAGATGTTCAGCAATATTGAAGCATTCCTCGGGAACAAAGCATTTTGCAGCAAATAGCTGTCATTAGGATAGGGGACCTGTCTTGAATTCAAGGCTTGGGGCATTGTGGGAAGATGCCCATTGAATTTCATCTTAAGCAGCCAAAATATTTTTTTTTCCAAATAAACTCCCGTATTACTGAACTGAGGCAGGCATTACTGTCTTATTTAAAAAAATATTTTATACAGTGCTATGCTATGTTACTTTTAGAATTTCTCATTCCTTTTCATCTGTTTTTTGACCAAAATCAATGACTGATAACCAGATATGTGTTGCAGCCTCTCTGCATCCTCACACCCTCATCCTGCAAGATATTGATAAGATTTTTCCTTAAAAATAGAAAACTTAATTCTTTGTTAAGATAATCACATACACATACTGTGTAGGATAGTGATATAAAGTTCATACAAAGGATAAACTACAGAAAGACTGAAATAAACTATGTCACTCATAATTCTTTTTCGTTAATACAGTGAGTTTCAACATTTAAAGAGAGTGAATGGTGGAAGGGGAAACCACTGTATGAGATTCCTCACTCAGCATTGACAATAGAACTTTCTTGAAACATCTTCCTGGGGTTTTTTTGGCCAGAAGTGCTTTCGAATAATTCTCACCAATCACACAGAGCCATGCTAGAGAGTGTAATTTGGCTTATTAGTGTGGTTAATAACCCAATGGTAAATAACGTGGAATTGGTAAATGACCTGAAGCTGATAAATGGCTAACGCACAGGTATGCCGGTGGACCAGGTTCCTGCTCTCCAGCCTGGCTCTGCTTGCTCAGTTTTGATAAACGGTCCCACCACCACAGATCTGCCAGCAGCGCTGTTATGTCACTGCTCTCAAACCTATCTCAGTAAAAAGGTAGGGTTGGTTAGCAGGTTAGATAGCTTAGAGAAGCTGTCACCAGAGCCAGGTTAAAGAGCACTTGTGTGGTAGCTTTGACATCAGATTTCAGTGGTGATGAATTCTGAAGTGGGTGGCACTGAGCAGAGAAGGGCAGGCTGGGGTACCAGCTTTTCCTTACTGTTCTTAAAGCATTAGTGTGTCTTCATCCTCACTGTCCCCATAACTTAAGTATGTTACCTTAAGTATGTACCTGAGTTGTAGAACTGAAAGGGTAGATGTTCACCAACATAACACCTCATCTCCTTGTGTCCTCTTTCAGGGGCAGTATAAGCAGAAATAACTTTGCATTTGAATCAGTTTTAGAGATTGTAAAAATCTATAGCTTCTGGTCTTCAGGAACAGGGCATTCATGTAATTATTTTTGTATACTCACAATATTGGGAAAGCCTAACACTTAGAAATAAACTGAACTTGGGTTTGATTAAAAGCTAGTTTTAATTAAATGGGTACAGTTTTATACTGAAACTGACATTCTGCACCCGGAATTAACTGATCTTCCAACTCTCTCACTTGTTCCTCTACATCTCATCATAAAATATTTTCCTCTTTCTATGAAATATATTTCTGCAGAGTAAGTTGTATATAACATTACAGAGCAGTTGAGAAATTGAAAGGAGCACAGCCCTTTAGAAAACTGGGAAGCCATTCCTCACCTCCCTTCGGAGAATACAATGGACCATGACAATAACAAAGCCTTGTAATGAATCAAATACTGCAAAAAGTATCTGAAATAATATTGATCTTTTGTCTGTCATGGCCAGGACTGCAGACATCCAAGTCAGGGCCAGAAGTGGCAACACCACACAGGAACTCCAAAGGGATGCCCTATTAAAAGAAAGAGAAAAGCAGCACTGTAATTTTGTAAAAAAATATTAAAAGCTCACTATTAAATAAAACATATATAAGGATGGCACTTTATCAAGTTAACTTGAAAATCACAGACAAGAATGTAACAGTGTCGGTACTTTATGTTCTAAAGAATATCCTGTATTCAGTTAATAAACACAGTTGCAATTTTTTTTTTGTGTTAAAAAGTATTTAAATGTGCTCAGCACTCTATACAGTGTTAGCAAACACAGTTGTCATCATCAAACTATTGTCTCACATGCACTGTATAAGATTTGTAACAAGAAGATGTAAATGATCAGGACTAACATGGCATTACTGGCGGTGGTGGCTGACAAAGCTGTTGTTGAAACTACTCCACACTTGGCACATTTGAGCGTCAAACCGCTATGAGGCTCACTCATCTGACTGCAAACAAACAGAACACCCACAAAAAGAACAAAATATTGAATTGTCACCAAAAAACGTTGCTACTGAAATTTAGCTTTTAAATATGATGTCATGCAGAAAAAGTAAGTAGTCTTATTCAGGATGAATGCTCTATGTTGTTGCAAAACTGTACTTTGTACTTTACATTACTGTTAGCTTTAAATGTTAATGCTATGGGGCTTCATTTCATGCAGACTCTATTTCTTCCATTTAAGCTAAAAAAGCCCCCAAATGTCCAGTGATCAAAACTGCTCAGTACACTGAAGTAAACATAAGCACGTGCTAGGATAGACACACAAAGTGAAATCCCTCTATTCAGACCTCTTGAAAGACTGCTGTATCCAAACTTCCTTTAAAAATAGTATAGGACACTTGAAGGAGGAGTATGAAATGTGTACAATTATGGACCATTAATTTTTTAAACCTGCAAAATATATTCAAGCATCAAATCAATATGGGCATACTGCATAGTCAGATTTGTACTAGTGATGTGAATGGCCCACTAACATCTACAGTGATTTTATCCATGCCATATGAAGGTCTGAATACAGGGCTTGAAATGTATGGAATCTGATGAAATAAATATCAGTTGGTACTAAAAAGAGGGTGACCTGCTTTGCATTTTAATAAAACACAGTACACAAGCATTAAGCTCAAAGCATTTTGTATGGACAATTGTACCTCAGCACCTGTCAGAAGAGTTAAAGGGCAAAACCTGGAATTTAAATTTTCTTTTACATACAGTATGCATTCAACTTCCTGACCCGACTAAACAAAGACTTTTGCTATTCATTCTTTTTTCTGTTGTCAGAACCTGGAATAACCATAGCTGACTGAGATGTGACAGGAAGGATGCTTTACCTATTCCCAGCTGGAAAGTGGTCAACATGGTGAAGATAGGTAACACTTCATTTTTTTCACTGTTATTTCAAGCAATCAAACTCCTTTTTGTTGACAAACCCAACATTCACGAGATTTTTAACATACTGCCCAAAACAACATTGAACTCCAGTGGTTTCCATTTTGATAAACCAAATTATGACTTTCCGTAAAAAAATGCAGTATATGTTCCATAAAAATGCAGTTTTTAAAAAAAAAAAAAAAACAGTGAGAACCATGACCTTGTATAAGGGGAGGGGGAGGGGGGTGTGAAAAGAACTCAGCGAATACACATCCATTTACAGCAGTTAAAGACCTACATTAACGAATGAACTAGAGAAATGAGAAAAATGCCTTGGGTAAGCTTAACCTAAGTTTGGGAAAATACTTTCCGTTTTTGTTTGGCCATACTTCAATGTTATCAGACTGGATTATTCTCTTTACCTCTACAGATTTGTTCTGGATCTTGCAAATAATAGAACTTCATGTGTATATAGACCAAATATAATCTTCCTGGCTGGGCATATATGTGTGCTACCCCTTATGCCAGGAAAATGATTGATGTCCATCAAGACACTTGCTGATTCTCCCTATGCATATTAAGGTGAAAAAAAACATATAGAGTTAGGATATTTTGCTCCATTCACTACTTCAAATCCTACATAAATGATTCCTACAGTGGAACATTTCACTGAACTTTTGACAGGTATAACTACAATGTTTGCCAGAAAGAACGAAGTTCCTGAGCATGGCTGGCAGAGATATTTGGGAAATGGGTGACAATCCCCTTTCTTCTGGAGGTCAAATTCTGCACTGGTTTCTAAGCTCCAAAGAAAAGATTCAAGGCTCTTCATCTGCCAAGTAGCATCAAGGAATGCTTTTGCCAAGCCTCTCATGCAAAAGTTAAGATTGTTTCTTGATTAGGGCATCTACATGCTTTCACAGAATAGACGAATTGTTTCTGACAGAATAATTTCTAGTTCTTTATCCATTCACTTTAAAACAGAATACCTCTTTACTAAGTTGCACACTGTTAGAAAGCAAGTTATTTGTTTAATCAGCAAAGTATACTATAAGCAAATAGATTTCTATAGCTGACAGCTGAGTAGCTGAAAAAAAAATGCAGTTAAATCTAAGTTTGGACATCCTTAAAAAATGTACAAAGACAAAACTGTGGCTGCTCCAGCTCCTTAAACCACTGGAACTGGAGCAGATGTGAATTTGAATTGGTGATCATTAAGTTATTACAACAGTGGAAATAATTTGGATAGTTTTATAATAGTCTAGATTTCATCAGCGTTATTACACAGTTAAGAATGTTGATGGAGCAATCTAGACAAAAGTAAGCTTAAGAAATTAATACTTTCTCATGAAAAAGGAGGAAAAGAGAAGAAACAAAATGAAAGCTTTTGGTACATATTTGTCAGAATAATAGCAAAAGAGCTGAAAACCAGAAAGTTTTAATTGAATTAATATCAAAAGCAAATCACACTAGCTGAAGTATTTATCAAAAAATTGCTCATCTAAACAATGAATTTAACTTATTAGGCACGCTACTGTTAGAGAAACAGTAAAATAATTCAAAATGAAGTTGTAACAAATTTGCCTATAGCAGTAGTACACAGTAAAATAAAGATACCATTGCTTGTCATTGCTAGAAATACAGATATTGGGGGTGGTAGTTAGCTACAAGCTGGCCTAAAGACAATACTAGAACATGTAGCTGTAAAAAACAATTATACAAAGTTTAAATATACTTTCATAAGCATTAAGAAGGTGATGATATACTCGTGAAATACTTTTCTCCAATACGGAATGAATCTAGGTTTGCTGCCGAAGTACTTCAAATCATTGTCATCCACTGAAAACCAGTTTCTGACACCACCACTGTCGGAATCCTTTCGTCTCATGATGACAAACAGAATTTGAACTTAAAGGCAAGTAAATGATCAAGACCACAGACTTTCCATTTAGCTTTTTCCTTTTTTTGCTTTTAAAACATGGCTTCTTACTTTGAAATTCTGTTACACTAATTTAGAACATACATCTCTGTAGATATGGATGTAAGAACAAAGGCAAGTTCTTCACATATTCAGAATGGCAGAATAGCATTGACCTCAGTAAGGCATATATTGCTGTAAAATATATTTTATAACAGTTTACACAAATGACTAACATTTCCCACTACAGTAATTAAAGTTGACAGCTAGACAAAAATAATTGGTTCCTTCAGTACACACAGTTCATAAAACTGTTTTCCTAACTGCAACAATTTTACATTTCTCACATTCTTGTGAAGCCTCTGCTCAGATTTGTTTAATCCTCATTATTATTAACTTAATACTGTTGTACTTGTGTTTTATTATGTTTACTTTTTTTAGTTGCATTCCCTCAGGATAATGCAACAGCAGATTTTAAGATGAATGGAATCTGTTAGACGCACTGTTACACTGATATAAAAGTTCAAAGCACAATCAAAAGCATTTTTGGTGAATATCTGTAACTGAAAATTGGTGATAAAATTTTAATATGCTTTAAAATAACCCGATTGTTGCTTACCCCGCTCTGTGTTTGAGCTTTTTATCTAGGATTCCGTCTCTGGAAACAAGTTTATTAAATACCAAAATGCCGATCACCATGTTGACCTGCCAAACAGAAAACAAACAGTTGATCTTTCAGAGCCTGAAAGAAACTACTTGTTACATTTCTGAGTATTCCGTAAGAAATTGTGTAACACTGTCCCTGAGCACACCGAAAGTGTGTATTTTCAAATGGGTAACACGTACGCCATGGGTAATGAGTTGTGGGCACAGGGGAGCGCTAGTCAGAGCACACGCTGACCGCAGCCGCGTTCCTTTTCCAACACTGGTGGCCCATGCGGGTGTTCCCCCTTGTGCAGAACCAGCCTGTGGTTTTCCACATCCTCCTGCACATTAGTCATTGTCTATGTAATTCACCAAAATGCCAGTCTTGAGCCTTGTTTGACTGCAGTTTCCCTTTTTTTGTGGGCCAGATGAATGCCTGGGGTAAGTCTATTTAGCTCCATTAAAGCAAATGGTGTGATGATCACACACATGGGTTGAAGACCTAACCTAAAAAAAATGAAGTGTTTCAGCAGTCAGACTCTGGCACTCAATGGACACCCTAATGGCATTTAATGGAAAACTTAATGACTGTTATTATCCATTTGTATTATTGAACTGAACTCTATGAACCTGCCTCTGCATGGCCTGCAAAGAGGTAATACCAAGTTTGGAATCTATTAAATAAATGTTCCTTTTTTTTTTTTTTTTTTTTTTAATTAGAAAAGGGTAATCCATTTTTCCTTTCAAACCCAATTTTCAAGATGTGTGCCAAAATACCTAATTGTTGCCAGTCTGTCCTGCCAGCTCTTTTCCAGCTTTTCTTATTATCATTTTATTTTCAACATTTACATTTTTTCAGCTGATGTTATATAATTCTTTTGCTTCGCACACTTAAGCTTAAGTGGCTGCATGGAACAGCTCCTTCCACAGCTACTAATTAATGGTAGGGCAAACGGCGACAGTGAACTTCAAACATTTCTGAACAAAGCTCGCCAATTATGCAGAGAACATACAGTTCCATGTGAAAATTATGACTGGCTTTTTGTAAACATCCTTGGCTCCTCTCTCATGACAAGGACTGTGAGTTGTACAAAAGGATCCTGGCTTGACTCCAGGCAACGATGAGACAAACTCTGTGGGAGTAGTAAACATCCATTTCAGGAAAATCTATGTAGCTAAATGGCTATATCTTTGACGACTACTAAGAACAATTTCCTTTTGCAAGGGAAAATCAGAAATAACTGGTGTTGATAGAGCTATCCTAGTATAAAATTGGTGGAGTGGAAGGAGGAATTAGATTCAAAATCTGTTAAGGGAAAAATGCTAAACAGTTTTAAAAAATCCATACAGACTGCAGAGCAGATGACTGATAGCCCATGGCACATGTAGGGTGTAATTCATCTTACCCTGAAGTAGACACCTGAAATACTTCTGACAGTTTGAGCCCTAGAAGTGCATATTTTTCTCCACTGACAATGAAATACGGCTGGGATAACTAGCTTAGATGCAGAAATTTACATTGCAGATGTCTGCAATTAGGCAAAGTGAATCCTACACCTAAATGCATTTCCAGAGATACGGAAGATTAATACACAAATGAATCACATTTCCCAGCTATGATGATTTTTTTCTTTGCCTTCAAAAGCAGTAGCCATGGAGAACTTGCTGGCTGGTTCCACTCCTCCTGTTGCTTTTGCTGGCACAGCGACACACTGCCAAGCAGCACTCTACCAAGACTGTCACTGAGCTTCAAAAGGCAGTGACAACTGCATAGATGCTACTGATAATAACTCAGCGATGCCTGTAACAAGTTTGCTGTGCCTCTCATCAGTACATTATTCTTTCACAGCTTACTGTGTAAACATGGAGAGACAACTGGTATGAAGAAGTGATACAACTAAATTAATCATGCCGTCAAAATACTGGAGGTATGTTAAACAATATGAGCTCGGTATTTACAGCAAAATCCAATGCTACTGTATAGCTAAGCTTTTTCAATTTAAATAGCACATTCCATCATTTCATATGAAAATACAGGAAAAAATGTTTACCAATACAACGGCAGCTGCAGGTCCAACGAAAGCATAAAGTAGCCCTCCTTCAAGAGACAGCCAACAGCTGGAAAGAACATTAGAGAAGAACTAACACAAATTAAAAAAAAGCATAATACATTGCCAAGAAAGCATTAATAATTGCTACAGTGTGAGAGTCTTCCGGTGCATGTTTGATCCTAGATACAGAAATTCATATGCACCCACAAAGGAGAATTACTTTGTTGATATGATGATGTAGAGAGTTGAAAGTTATTTCCATTACCAATTGTTAATGTTTCAAAAGTTTTAATCTTAATCATACGTATACTGAAATGCCTAAAATTTGTTACAAGCACAACAGAAAATAAGTTTGCAAAACTTTATTGAATCTCCTCTAATTGTGTATGCTGAATTAACTGAACATGACTTGCCAGATAGGTATCTAGAAACATTTCCAGCTTACCATGTCTGACATAAAGCAATGAAAGGTCAAGTAGCTGTAATGCAGTACTCCTGAAACAAACAGGTTTCTACATATCTTCTCCTATGTATGTCGTTTAGTAATTGCTGTTAGAACAAGGTCTTACAGACAACATTCCCATTAAAGAAAAATCATATGTATTCTCTGGAATATTTTGCAAACCATTTAAACATATATTTTAAAGAATCTGAAAACTGTATTTTTCGGGTGAGCTACTAATCTTGCAGAGTCTGTCACACTGCATCAGGGCTTTCACTGACTACCACCAGATTTCCAAACACAGAGTGCTTACAGAATCACATTCTAAATATTTGATATACCATGATGCAAAGCTTTCCATATCTGCAAAAGATCAGGAGCTTCACACACTGAAGTAAATGCAGCTGTGCTATTTTCCCAGTGATAACACTTTCAAAGAACTGCATGTTTATTTGAATGCATGGTCACACCTACATACAAGAAAACTCAAGTATATGCATTCAAATAATTTACTTTGATCTTACATCCAGAAACATTCATATCAGAATCATAGGTATCTTCTTAATTTTTCCAGTACTGTTTTTGTACTTTTCAAAACCAAGTAAACTAAATGCAAGCACATCATAATATTAATGGGCTGTTACAGCTGGAATTCTGCAAAGAATAAAAGTGCTTCCTGTCGCAGTGAAGCCATGTGAAATCTGCCACATGAACCCAACTGCATTCGTGTGCTAAATTCTGGAATGATAAATTGATGCAAATAGTTCATATCTGCTTCACTGTTAACAAGGTAACACATGGCAGGCTATTCTACATCCTGCCTCAAAAAACAACTACCACAATCATGTCCAATTAATTTTTATAATGTCAAAGAAAAATGCTTTCAAAAATTCTCTGAAATTTTTCTTGCTCTTTTCCAAAAGCTAGGTTATTTACTGTGAGAGACTGAAAACACGGTCTTCTGAGAGGAAGGAATGTATTCACAGTGCATTTCGCTACCAGTAACGACTTTTAAACATAGTGAAGATGACCACTCTGCATAACTAAGACATGTAATTAAAATTTTCATGTTTATTGGCCGATAGAAACATCAGTTCCTAAGAATTGTTGATGTATTATATTTGAAACATAATTTCAGTTACTTCTGCTGAAAAAAAGGGTCAGCAAGGGTTTTTTTTTTTTTTAATAAAAATAAAACAGTTTCTACCACAAAAATCTTTAAGACCAAGGGAAAATTGTTCCCTCCCTTCCCCATGCCCTGAAGTAAAAAGGCTGTTCAAAAGAGTGACTTCCATTTAGAGGCAGAGCTGGGAAAAAAGGAGAGGTTGTCCTCCTTACACAATCCAAATTTTCAACAATCTGGATTTTCAATGTGTAACATGATTATTGCAATACATTCAATATCTGCCAGCTGATGACTCTGAAATGCACTGTTTCCCAATTGTTTTCTGTTGAAGACTTTCTGAAGACAGAGTCTCAGGTGCCACCTTTTATTGTAGGGCAATATTTGTCAATTTTTTACTATTTTTTCCTTCTCTTCTTTTTCTTTGCTCTGATAGCTTTTTTTTCTATACTTTATAGTTGTTTTTATTTTGTTCTCCTTTTCTGTGTTCTTTCTTCCCGACCCCCGCACAGCAGAAAGCCATATAAATTGATAAGCATTAAGAGCATCCACTGGTGGCTTTATGGGACCATGTTACACAGTCATAAAATTCTGCTCAGTGATAAAGTATCTGTAGTCTTGCTACCGTGTCCTTTACATTTTGTGTGTTTGATGCTCTACAAGGCAATGATTCCTTCTCTTAGAAGAGAATGACTAGAACAGAATTTTAATTTTTTGCAGATATAATGAATTCCTGGAAGTTATCTGCACTTCTCATTAATACATAGCACTGCATGTAAACATGAGTAGGTCACACAGGTTATACTACAAGTTATCCTTAGTATTAGTTGTGTTTTCATAGCTCTGATTGTCTGAAGAGAGGTAGCAAAAATATTTATTAGACTCAGTGAAGTAGCTGGAAAAAACAATCAAGCTCTCAGACACACAAATCTTCAGATATCCTGAAATATCTAGAAACCTGTCACTGTGGTGTGTTGTTTTTTGTTTGTTTTTATTTTTTTTAAATACCTTCAGCTTCTATATTTCATATGTAGTTTGAAAAGTAGAGTAATAGAATTGTGCAATAATTAGGACTGAAAGAAAAAGAAATCAGAGACTGTTGATCACAGGATTGGTTCGAGTGTGAACAATTCAAGCCACACCCATCAATCATATACTGTATGAAGCTGAGATCTGCTTCAAAGATCCTAGGGCCTTCTCCCTTTCCACCAATTGCTTCATGTGTGGGACTATGGGACTGGAATAAATTCCTTAATTTTCATTCTTAATTTTCTCCATTTGAAACTATTGTTTTCAAAAATTGCATCTTAAGTTAAAAAACTTACGCAAGTGCTTTAGCCATGGGAGGGGGAGCAGGACAAGAGCTCTGCTTTTACACCCCCCAACAGTTGTTACTGGACACAATTCTCTGCTGGCTTCTAGAGTGGGACAGCACATCAACTGGTTACAGGGGAGGAATCTCCATTCCTTGCATTCCCTGCTTTCCTTATGTAATTCTGATGTCAAACGCCAAGAGAATGTATTTGCAAATATGATGAGAAAGCTGCATTATGGTTCTGTTTGTCCCTTGTACACCCCCTTTTGTGCTTTTGTCCCATGGTACCATGCCAGATGAATTTGTATCCTGGGAGATGAGCTGTTACATGTAGAGAGACCTGCTCTTTTTTACTTCCCAGGTTGCCCTTAATGAATGATTTGTTGCTTTGCCTAAATATTTCAGTATATCCTCTTCTAAAAATGCATTCAGCCCCAAATGGAAGCAGGAAGCAATGCTAACTAAAGCAAGCAGTCACACATGAATAATTTCAGTAGACTAAGTGCAATGGGATTGATCCTGCAGCTAACAGAGCTACATCCCCAATGGGGTCTGGACATTGCAATCTTGAGATTTGTCATTCTCACAAGCTAAAGGTTTCTCCAGTCCTGGTTCAAGGACTAAATAAGAAAAAAAGCCAGCAATATGAGCACATATGAGTTAGAAAAAATGTCAAAGGAGCAGGTCCTCAATGTAACTCCCAAAAGATGGCTAAGACCATTGTTTCACTCATGACTGCCATCTGTAAGTGCTGTCCCACAGTTAAGCACTTCAATTAGGTAAGCCATTTCTCATTAAAAAAATGCAAGATACGCGTTGTCACAATTTAAAACTCAAGAGCTCAGGAGATTTGATTTTGAATCCTTACCCAGAGCTGGAGCCAGGGCTTGAAGCCTCCTCCGCCATGTGCCAAGAGGGTGGGACACACAGTACAGCGAGGGGGAATGCTGATCTCACTCAATGATGATACGAAGAAGAATAACTAAATATTCCTTGAAGTAAGGACTTGACCTAAATCATTCTCATCTCTGATGAATGCCCTCATTACCAGGCTACAGTCATATTTCCTCTTTTTCTGTCCAGATGCATACTTAATTTCCTGGGCAATGTGAGGAGAGCTCCAGACAGGATGACCAAAGAAAAAACACTCCTGCACACATAATGTCTTGGTGGTTGGAGTGGTCAGCTGGCAGGAGGGAGGCTCAGCCCAAGCTCCTTTTTCAACAGGAGACAAACGAAGGGCAGCCTTGCTGAGGACGTAATTTTTCAGGGTTCTAACTATGCATTGTAGCCAGACAGGTTGGTAAATAGGAACTGTATTAATGAAATGAAGTACACAGATCTCCTCCTCACTGTCTCTCAAGTGCATCCCAGTCCAGGAAATGGGCTGGATCAGGCACTCTGGGAGAGAGAAAATGGATGGGAGAGCTATTCTGAGATTTCTGTGAGGCTTTGGCTCCAAGCAGCTCAGGGGCAGTAAAGCCAAGGTACATGCTAGGTATTTAGAAACCCAAGTGCCAAAGAGACTCTTGCCAGTACAGTCTTAGACATGTTTAGAAGTTGGCAAAAGCTAACCAGAACATTTAAGTTTCTCTTTTGTAAATGCATATAAATGTTAGGTGTCAAAGTTGACCTAAGCCTTGGTGTTTCTAAAAGGCTCACTAGAATCATAGGATCATAGAATGGTTAGG